AAAATTGTCACTGAAAATTCACTGAAGTGTCATCTCATTGAAAAGTGACTCTGGGCAGTTTACCAAAAAAAAAAAAAAAAAAAGCAACATTAAAACAGCAATACAATTTGCCACTCAGTCAAAACATGTAAAATTCACAATTCCTTGTAAATGGCCTATCTGCTCACACTTGAAACCAAAGTATACCTAAGTGTTTCCCGATGTCGGCAACTTTGTGATGTGTGGACTTTAACTCCTAGAATTCTTAGCAATGGCCATGCTGGTTGGGGCATATGGGGAGTTGAAGTCCACACACCTTAAAGTTGCTGAAAGTGGGAAACATTGATCTAAGTATTCTTCCTGAACAATTTCACTGCTAATAGTGAACAGTGCTGTGGGAATGTAGTAGTGTGGTCTATTCTGTGCCTTATGTCCTTAAAAGACTAAAATACATGGACACATAAATTTTTGCTTCCTCTGATAGTTAATCAAAATATTTAAGCTAGGAAGTATAAAGGAAAAAAGTGCACTGGATACCAACCAACTTAATACTGAAGGCAAGTTAGTTAACATAAATGAAATATGGAATGGAATTTGATTGGATGAAAATACTTTCATCAACCTGATGGGTCAATTATTTTTAAAGCAAGTGTGTTTAATAAAGTGATAGTTAATGCCAATTACAAAAAACAGGTTCAACTAAAATTCTTCTCAAAAATAATAAACTGTACCTCCTTGTGAACCACAGCAAAGCTGTCTAATTAAGTTATAAGCAGAGCACTAAAGCTGTGAAGTAAACCTAGTAAAGAGCAAAATGGAAAAGAATCTTAGGATCTAAAAACATCCTAAGAAAGTCTGCCTGATCAGCATGCAGGAACAGTTGCCTCAGATTTCCTGAAACTGCTACAGTCATGTAACCAAGTTTTTTTAAAAAAAAATTAGGGGGTCAATTATTCTTCACAACCATTCAGGAAGTATTTAGATAGCTCTAATGGTGACAAATGTTTGAAGCAGAAAAGAACAAGGTAAAAGAAAGAGATTGATGGGAGCTCAGAACAGATAGCTTAATCTGTCCAATGTTTTGCAACAGTACACACAGCTTGACTTGCACATTCATTTTAATCTGGGATTAATGTGACCATGGAAACGTGGCCAGACAGTTGAGAAAGGTCTGCAGATTCTGGATAGCTGGCTGTTAACATGCTGGTAACCAGCATAAAGTATCAGTGGGCTTCTCCTACCTTGACACTGATGCTTCTAATTAAATGTAACATTACCTATGTTTAGAAACAATTCATCAATGAAAGGAAGGCAGAACCCAACTGCAAGATTGACCTAGAGAGGCAAACTTTTCCAAGGGTACACAAAAGTACATAAATTAAAAGAAAATAAGATTCTATGTTATGAAAAGAACAAGGGCATCCCATTCCCTCTAGATTTTTTGACAAACTGAAGCCCATGACAAAGGTGTAAGTTGCACATCTCTTCAGAGTGATTGCGCTTTGTTCTAGAATGAGATTTCCTAATAAATCTACAATTCTAATAAAAGTATACATACAGGTATATATAATTGCAGCACATCCGTCAATTTTCCCTTTCCTATGGAGGACTGCCAAATAGTTGGAAGACATTTTAGCTGATTTTTGGTAACCCACTAAAGTGTTAACATAGGTTTAGGTTAATTTTTTAAATTGACTTTGATTCTAACTTTTTGCTGTTTGCTTGAAGCCTTCTGGACAAGAAAAATTAATTCCAAATAAGTATTACATATCTATAATTGCTAAATTTAATTTCAGCTTTTAAATGACAATTTGGTCAGCCTCTAAAGACAAGCATTAGTTAGCTTTAACAATTTTCCCCAGAAGCAAGTTTGTTCTAATGCAGGTCCTGTTACTATAGCAATAAAATTCCCTGAATCTTATATGGTGGTAGCCCCAAAGTTCTAGTTCACAACCAAGAAAGTCCCTAAAACAAGATGCCTCTTTAAATGTTATGTAGAGAAGGATCAGACAGTCTTCAAAGGAAAAGTTCACAAAGGAGCTTATACTTTCTATATCAAGTATTAGTTTTGAGCTTGTGCAGTCTATTCTGTTTTTTCTACCAGAATCCTGAAATCCATCAGTTGGAATTAGATGCAAAGGGTAAAGCCAGATGCAAAATCTTGGGGAGAGAGAGACAATTGCTTACAGCACTCCTTAACTAATGAACAGAAGCAATCTGTATATAAACTTCAGGGATTCTAGCTAGCTGAACTCCAACCAGGGTTTGGGCTTGAGTCAGCACTTCTGAAAACAGCTTCATTTGACTTGGACTACATTAGAGGCCATCAAATTAAAAAAAAAAATCCTCTCTCCTACTGATTGGTACCACATTTTAAAAAGCTTTGGTTTTAAAAATTTTTTTTAACAGAATAGAATTTGCAAAACAGATGAGTATATCCTAAAAGGAGCAGGTGTA